CACAAAAAAACCTCCATAGATCTAAATCCTTTTTACTAACAAATCTCAAAACCATTAAAAATACCATAAATCTTAGCAATTGTGGCTAGAACATATCCCAGCTTGTAGCTAAAGCCCTCGACCCAAAGTCCACTTGCAGATCTTATGAGTCCACCTCAAGCACTCCAACCATCCCGTAAGGTAGACCCATCAATCTCTAACATAATGACCCTGTCATGCAGATAGTTCTTGCCCCTATCTTCTCCTGACCTATGTAGACTAGTAAGCATATTAGATAGCTTGAAATTAGCAACAACCTTGAAAAAGAAAGAAAAAGGCTCTTCAAGAGCCTCCTCAACAATTTCATTAAATAAGAATTTGCATCTACTTTTCCAAATAACCCAGCAAGTATGCGCAAAAAGAAAGCTCTAAGGAATACAATTTGTCCTAGATAAGTCAACTTGGTGTTTCATATTTCAATTTAGCCAATCACACTTGTCTAATTGCAAACATTTCTCAATAAAGCTAGGACACACAAAGGCAATCCACCATTTCCTAGCATGTTTGCAATCTCGAAGCAAGTGCATAGTATTCTCCACTACCTAGCATCTGAAGGGAGATAAGCCAGTGACGTTGAGACCTCTATTTAGCCAAAAACGGTTGAATGGATTCTATCATACACAATCTATCAAAAGAAAGTGTTCATCCTCTCTAGGATGTTCCATCTCCAGATCTTACACCATATGGGATCACAATCATTTGTCGTACCTGTAAGAAGAAAAGAATAACCAGATTTAACAGAAAAGGCTCCGTTAGTGGAATAAAGCCAAAGGCGTTTATCCTCTCCTCTCTCCTCACTGGGGGCTTTTATGTTGATAATCTAGTCCACAACATGCTTAGGTAGCCAAGGGCTCATCTTATAGACATCTTAAACTCTCGGGTGAAGACTTAATCGCTCACTTTCTCATTTATATCAAAAAACTCCCTTCCATGTTCCACAAAATTAATAAGGGGTTCCTTATTTAGCGTCTACCTCTCGAACTAAAACGAAGTTTGATTACTGAAGATAGTCTTCTTTCCTAAACCCTATTGAAAAGAGTTCCAGACTTTGTAAATATTCCTCTAGGTGATGGAGTCACCCATTCTCTATTAGATCATGTGTTTTGATGATTACGAAACCAAGAGAAGAGGTATTTGTTATGTGTAGAAATATAAAGAATCATGGATGAAGACAAAACCTCAAAAGCATGAAGAATCAAGAGAAAAGGAAAAAGTTTAGGATAAGTAATTTAAATTCTCTTAGATTCAATGTGAAAACTTAGAGAGTTTAATCACTTTTCTTAATCATTAAATGAATGTATCATATGTTTCTTTTATATATATATATATATATTAAAATTCATCTAAGTATGTTAAAGCTTGCAAACTTTGGCCCTCTTACATATGGTTTTTCATAGAAAAAGTTTGCATAGTGAAGAAGCAAAATCACGCGTAATTCTGCAGGTCACTCACGAGTTTTTGCATATTAGGCATACTGACTACTAGATCACGTGATTGTGAAGAAGTGCTTCACGCGTGATTAAGCAATTGTATTATATATTGCCTTATGCTTTATCTCTGCATGCAAAACCACGCGTGAAAGACTTCAGTATTCACACAAGTTTTAGCACCTATGCTTTATTGTATTGTGACTAAGTGTAAAACCACGTGTGAGACTAATGATAGCCATGTGTGATTTATCACTTGCTGAACAATCACACATTGTTTTCAGTCTTAAAACCTCTCAAGTCAAGCCAAAAATTGTTCACATGTATGATCATTGATTTACAAATTCATATCTCTTGATCATGCAAAATCTTACTTGAGATGTGCTGAGTTCCACGCAAGTTTTGATCATATTGAATGGCCTTGACATTTTACCAACCATTTCATGCGTAAGGGAGTAAGGGTTCCAATCGTGATTTGTCACATTGAAATGATGATAGTTCTTGATGTGCAAAACCACGAGTGAATGCAAGTGGTGCACTCGTAAGTTTTAGCACATAGAATTGAATGATTATTCATAAGTGTTAAACCACGTGAGAGAGCAATGAGATACCACACATGATTAAACACACAGAACTGAATGATCCTTCAGAAGTGCAAAACCACGTGAGAGGACGAGGTGTTCACACGTGATTTGTCACATTCAGTTTTGTGAAACTTCCTTAGTGCACAAACACGCATGATTATACCAATCACTCATAAGAAAATGCACCAATAGATAAAATCACTGTTCCAATGGTCTATTAACTTTCAAAAACTATATAATTGATCATTTTGAACCAAAAAATAGACTAATAATCTTTGAGTGAATATATTATTATTTGTGCATTTAAAGAGCTTTTAAATTGTGATTTTTATTGATTGCATTCATTCATTATTCTTGAAAAGTATTATGAAAAGCTCTCAAAAGTTTATAAGCTTTTATTTGTATGTTTATCTACTCTTTAAGAAAATTTTCTGTAAAAAATTTTGTTATCATCTCAGAAATCTTGAAAAAGATTTTTCAAGTGTTATAATATCTTGCTAGATTGTAGCAAAGTGTGATAAGTGAATCAAGACAAGATCACTCTTGAGATTTTTATTATGATAGCAAGCACCCATTGAAACTTATGATTTTAGTTGAAATTCTCAAGTGTGATCTTGAGAACTGAACGTAGCCCAAGTTTGTAGCTAAATCAGTATAAATCTCTGTGTGTTATCTCCTTTCCTCACTCTTTAACTCTTTACTCCTTGTAAGTTTTCAAAAATTTTTAGTGTTATCCAATTCACTCCCTTCTTAGATGCCAACCTATTCTAATGCTCTCTTAACAATCTTTGGCATACTTACCTCACCACATTTATATTTAGACCTAAGAACTTGGACCCATAAAACACCAGGATTATCGATCAACCCCTAACAGAGCTTCCAAATAAAAGAGTTATTTTGATACTTTAGGTTCTTGATTCCCAAACCACCATGATCCTTGTGCAAAAGATGCGCCTTTCTAAAGTGTCCATCATTTCCCCACAGGAACTCACGACTGGCTTTCCCTAAATCATTCAAAATACCATTCGGAAGAAGGATAGTCTGCATGTAGAAGAGGCATTAAAATGTACTGCTGAGTGACAGAAAGCAGCAACGGAAATTAAGCTTATATGTTATTATCTATGCTGAAAGGTATTGTAGTAAGAAATCTGAAAAGCTTATATATTAGTAGATAGATGCGTTTGAGTGCAACATGAAAAGATGATTAGACATCAATAAATGAAAAGAAGTCCTCAAAGAGCTCAATGTGGCAACATGAAAAATGCCTTTACAGAAGGCAGAAGAACATTGGGAAAAAAGGCAGTAGAATACAAAATGCTTTTACTTCATCGATGACAGCCTGCAGCTGCATGATAATTGGCAAGACCTCCAAATGTTTGACCGACAAGTACATGAGTTTACCTAGTGAGCAGAAATCGATCAAATATAATTAAGAAAGAAGCAAAAGAGAAAAAAACTAAAGTGACTTGTCAGCTTTACCTGAAAGAAAAATAGGTGAGTAGCTAAATTGCTCAATCTTTGAACCGGAGGCCAGCAGGACAAAAACAACCCTTAGTGCGCTATCATTTGTATCACTGCAATCAGATTGGCTATAGCAAAATATTGATAAGGGGCCCCAATCCACTTAATTTCCAAATTCAAGTAGTGGATCAACTACCAGGATAAAAATCAACAATTATTTGACTGGGAAAATTAATTGAGAATCTAGAAGATTCATTCTAAAACATAAAAGAATTACTTGTAAAGTTAGACACGTAAAAGGCACGCAACAATTCATTTGCTCGAGTTTTATTGTTTTATTACAAGGGTCTAGGTAATTTTTTATGCGGCACTTCGAAGTTCATTTATTGATATCACTGGCTAAGACAACTTGTTCCTTGATTTAACCATAGTATGGTTTCAAAAATTATTCAGTTTTTACCAACACAGATTCATTAGTTACAGTATGGTATAATTTCAATCAAATTTTATTGTTACTCACTAATTTTTCCTTGGACTACTAGTTGGCAACGCTTTTAAAGATTCAAAAGCTTAACTTGATGCATTACCATGTGGTTTCAGATATTATTGAGTTGTCATCATTCTAAAATTTTAAGGGTCTATTTACTAGAGTTAGAAATAAGGGTCGGGCCTGAAGGGTCAGGCTTAAAAGCTCTATTTAAATAAGGGTTCGGGTTTTAAAAATAATTTTTTTTTCAAAATAATCAGGTTTGAAGGCTTGGCCCTGATAAGTCCTGTAAAAAAAGGCTTGGGCTCGGGTAGCCCTTCAAACCCTATTATATTATTATTATTATTATTATTTTTGGTGGAACATGTGTTTGAAACCAATGACTTGCTCACCTGATCCTACACACATTATATTATTATTAATTCTAATTTATTCTAAAATTAATTTAATATAATTTAATAAATATCAATTTATAATATAAAATTCCTGATACTTTTTATTTTTCTATAATTATTATGTTTGTGTATTTATAAAAAATAAATTATTTTTTAACCAAGATTTAAATTTTATTACTAGACTTCTAAATGTGTGTTGTTTAATTTTTAAAAAATTATGAGAATTTTATTTTTTTAAATTTCAAAATATTTTAATTAATTTATAATGTTTAATTTTATTTTTATTATTTTTATTTTTTTGAAAAAGAGCTTATGGGCCCTACCCTAAGCCCTTCACATAAAGGTCGAGTTTAAAAAATAAGGTTCAAAATAGAGAATTAGGATTTAGGGCTCTATATTCCTAAATCTAAAAGAGACCACCTGTGAAGAAGGATGTGGATTCTCTTCTTTTTCCCTCTTCACTTCCAATGATGAAAACGAGAATAGGAAGCATCTTTTGAATTTAATAATCAAAAGAGAATATGAAGCATTTTTCTTGGTAAGAAAATAGGAAAATAAATCCAAAACCAAAGGCACGATTTTTTATTTTTTTTAATTTGAGAACCTGTCAAGACAATCACGTGACCATCCCGCGAGGGCGATCCTCTGCGGCCAAGCTGAGCCAAACAGTTTTGGAGTAGCTGACCAGTGTTCACGCTCTGGTCACGTAATCTTCAGTCATCATTTAAATGCTTATTTAAATTTTAAGTGAGTATAATAAATTATAAAAATAATTAATTAAATGATAAATTTTAATCATAATTAATTATATTATAACACAATTTATTTAAATATTATTTTTTTAAAATAATTTTAACAAAGCTGAAAATATTTGAATAATTTAATCAGAATCAATTTTAACTATATAAATTACTATATAATTTAATTCTTAAATATCAAACATTAATTTTTTGAGGATATAAAGTTTAAATTTTATTAACAAAAAGAGCAGAGAAGAAAGTTTAGTTTTATTTTGATTAAATTATGTTTTTTTAATTTTTTCTTGGACTTTTTTTTGTAATTTCCCCCAATGTTTTTGATTAGTTTTTTGCAGAACGCTTGGTTTTTCAGCTTTTAAATAAAATTAATTTTTGACCCAAAAATCGATTAACTCATTTTATGAGTGGTTAGATAATTTTTATTTTTAATCAATTTTCTTTTAAATAATCGATTAAATGCGTTATCCAAACGCACGCCCAAGTTGTGGTCCTTGTCTCTTTAAAACTCAAGGACATAGAAGTACGAGCTTATAGAATAGTTCCCATTCAAGTAAGGTCGTAAAGCACGGTTTAAAGTGAGATTGGGAAAACGAAATAAACAGATAAAATCGAATAGCAAGGTAGTGATGCCACATGTTATATAAACTATGTCATGTGAGTTCAGAGACGGAGTCTGTATGCAGGCACATGATGGCAACCAAGAAAAGCCACCGTCACTAGTCAGGAAGCCCCTAAAGTGTAACAATTTTCTGTTTACTAGCTCAGTTTATAGACCTCTATTCATAACATATTATTAAGGTTATTTAGTTATTTAATTTACACTAAGCGGATTCCTAAACCTAAATTCAATCAACCAATTCGGCCATACTCAAAATATTTTATTATATCCTTAATAATATCTCATAACTAAATGATATCTTAAATTGATATATTAGATTTAAATTTTTTTTTATAAACATAATATAATATATATAATTATAATATGCGATAAAACATCTAACACGTTGTGCCCCGAAGTCCAAACGGTCTCCAATGAGTTCCTAAGCTTGAGATTTCTTATGGGTTTTCGTTCTCAACAAGAGGAACAAGATTTTGGACCCCAAGTTTGAAGCTTTCCTTGTATTCTTTTCTCAATTTGGATTGGATACTATTTGAGCTTCAAGTTTAGAGCTTCGTCTCAGTTTCTCTTTTTCTGAAGGAGGATATCAAGTTCAGAATATATGTTTCGTGAATATTGCATTGTGGGATCCAGATGGCCACTACAATAATTTTGGACAGAGTCTACGTCCTGCGTTTAGGAGCACTTGTCGGAGCTACGTCAATCTTGCTATGGGTGAGGCTAATATGTGCCGATTAAAAAGAAGCTTAACAAAGCTTCCATGGCTGCCTCCACCAACACTCATGGACCTGTGAGGTGTCAAAGAAGACAGGTCCAAACCTGCACTTTGTGTGTCTAGCTTAGCTTGCCACGTGTATATTGGGTCAAAACAAGTAGTATGTGTGCCAATGGATAGGATGACATTGCGCTCATTTTGAAAGTTGGAGGGCAATAAAAAATTCTGGGATAAATTTATCTTTTAACCTTTTATATTATACGATCGATGTATGAAAATTATATATATATATATATATATATATATATTAAACATATAGGATCATTTGTTACAATTTTCTTTCCATTGAGAAGATAGTAGCTAAAAAAGATTTGCAAAGTTTTGTGAAGTCTTCTTGGTCTCAAGTCGTACTTCTAGATTTTGGCTAAAAAAAAAAATGGTATTTTCAGATAATAACGAACCACAACTAATAAATAGGAAAGCTAAATTGAAATAAAATATAAAGTGAGAGGGTCAAAATCTAAGTTAGTATTTTTATAAGTAAACATTTTAATTTTTTTTAAAAGAATAGTGAAGTTTCTTGATCATCTACAGGAGACAGTAATTTGAAACAAGTTCGATGGACCTATCCAAATAAGTTTGAAAAATCTTATGATCAAGTTTTGGAGTTTAAAAATTTTTTCATTTCATATTTATTTAGGCCACTCGAATAAACTTGAACCCAAATGAATTTAGTTTCAATAACTGAATTTGCACTCCTAAATCAAGTTTTAATTAATAATTGTTTGATTTGAATTTTAAAAAATATTTTAAAAATAAATACAAGAGGTAATTTATATGCTTTCATTTCTACTCTTTCAATGCTTAGTTTCACTTTAATAAGGTTAAGGAAAAAAATGCGTTGTAATGTCAAGTTTCTTGAAATTAAATATATGCCTCTCTTGACCAAATAAGAACTTTTGTTTAAGATTAAAAAAATAAATTATCTTTATATAGTTTATGGGCCATTTGTTTCAACTTATTATTTTATAAAAAAATCACTTATTTTCTTAAAAAGTTATCTTCTGAGTTTAAAGGTCCGCTTATTTCAGCTTATTTTATTAAAAAATACTTGAAAAATATATTCCTTGACTTTTTATGATATTTATTTAAAATTTTAAAAATAATTAAAATAAAAAAGTAGATTTTTTATTATTTTAAGAAACTATTTTGAATAGCTTCTGAAAATAATCTCATATAGTGCATGAGAGAGAGTGCTTTAAAGATATTGGGTACATGAAGATATTATAAAATTTTAAATTAACAAAATAATAAGTCATTTTTGTAAATAAAAAATCAAGGAAGATATCATAAAATTTAAATATAACTAATCACTAATCATCATCATTATTATTATAACCAAATATAAAATAATGTTTATTTTTATAAAATAAATATCTTTTTATAAAATTTTTAAACAATTTAAAAATTACTTATTTTTTAATTTTAAACAAATGGGCAGTAAATGACATCTGTTTAAAATTTTAAAAATACTCAAAATATGAAAAAAAAAAGTTAGATCTTTAATTATTTTAAGAATATACTTTTTCTTTAATTTTGACCTAGTGAGCCTCGAAACTTAATTCACCTAAATTTTTTGATTATTAAAAAAAAGCTACTTTTTTGGGTCATGCTAAAAATATACTTTGAGTAGCTTTTGAAAATAATTTGATGAGATATGTGAAAGAAAATGATTCGAAAAAGAGCAATATATAAAAATATCATAAAATTTTAAGATAAGTAAATAATAAATTATTTTTATAAGAAAATCAAAGAAGATATCAAAATTTAAAAATAACTAACTAATATTACTTTTATTCTTGTACCTAGACATAAAATAATGTTTATTTTTTATAAAATCTTGATAAAATAAATCTCTTTTTATAAAATCTTCAAATTATATAAAAATTACTTATTTGAAAATGATTTAATCTTAAACAAAGCAAGCTCTAGACGTTTTAAAAAAAACAGAGATTTTCTCTGCAGATATTTTATAAAAAAATGATATTATTTTATATTTAGTTACAATAATAAAAATATTTATTTAATTTTTTTAAAATTTTATAATATCTTCCTTAATTTTTTATAAAAATAATTTATAGAAAAATTACTAAAAAAATTAATTTTGTTAATAAAAATATTTATTATTTTATTATTTTATAATTTTATAATACCTCTATATATCCCAAATATCACTTTTTTTAAAAAAATTACTTTGTAAAATTTTATAATATTTATTTAAATTTTTAAAAATAACAAAATCTAGAATAAATAAATTTTAAATTATTTTCAGAAATTACTTTTATAAGCTTATGATGAAAGAGATTATTTCAAAAATACAAGATACACAATCATATCATATGATTTAAAATAATTATTTTTATAAAATAGAAATATTAAAAGATATAATAAAATTTTAAAATAAATAATTAATTATCACTTTTTATTATAAATAAATATAAAACATATGTCAGCCTTTTTTAAGATCTTTATCCCTTCTTTGCTGGTGCAAAACAAAAAACAAAAAACAAAAAATAATACTATAAAAACTCGCACATATCATTATATATTCCCTCGCCACCCTCTTCCTCACAAAATCCCTTCACCGTCCCACTCTTAGTACCTCTCTTGCCTACCGCCAGCGGCCCTCGCTCCATATTGCTTGGCGAAACGAGTTCGACGGCAACCCTCCCTCTCACATAAGAAGTCATATTCTTGTTTCGCAGAGAGGTTAGGTAACACTGGTTGTTGAGAAATATTAGCGGTGATTCCAGAACGCAAAAACAAGAGTAGAGTAGAGCTGCTTCGGCTGCAACGTGGTTTAGGGGCAAACTGGGTTTTTCAGAAGGTTAGCTTGAAACGTACACAGAAATTTTATACTTCATGATTTTTTTGCTGACAGATTTTTAAGGAAAAATAATAATAATTTTTTTAAAATATATAAATGATAATTTAATCCCTTAAAACGTCATAATTTTTTAAAAATCTTTAGGAACAATTTTGTCATTAATAAATTTATATAAATTATCAAATTATCCTTGCTAAAAATAAATGATTCACAAGTTTTATTTAAATATTTATAAATTTTTTTCTTATATTCACAATAATTCAACAGTAAATAAGAAATTAATATGTGAAGCTGTAATTTGTTATTGCATTGTTATAAATATAAAAAAAAGTTATGGATATTTAAATAAAACTTGTAAATAATTTATTTTCAACAAGGTTGATTTGATAATTTATATAAATTTATTAATGACAAAAAAGTTTTTAAAGACTTCAAAAAATTATGACATTTTGAAAAACTAAATTATCATTTATATATTTTAGAGAAATTTTATTGTCAAGGCCAGTTGTTTCCTTTTTTTAATAAAAAAATTACTTTTTTTAAAAAAAATTACTTTATGAGGTTTTATGATATTTATTGAAAAATTTAAAGAAAAAAGGTATCTAATCATTTTCTTAAACAAAACTATATTAGCTTCAGCATAATTAATTGTTCCTTTGTTCATTAAAAAAATTAAATAGCACGTTTTTTTTAAATTACAAAATAAATAATTATTAGATAGTTTATGAACTTTATAAAAAGAGGTAAACATTATTTTATTTTTTTAACAATAATAAAAATTAACTATTAGTTAATTTTTTTCTATTTTATAAAAATAATT